CCCCCCCCCCCCAGTTGCGTTAGCACACCCCTAGGCAGAGGCTGGAAGCGCTGCTTGCCGTTACGCTCCTCGTTTTAAATTTAGACCGCAACAAATGGGTCAAGTCCTATTTTTTAAAAAATTTCTTTTTTTTTTTGCACCACCCTTTTTTCTCTGGATTAATTAGAGCCTCCTGCGGGTTGGGAGGGAGAGGTTGAAATTGTACCCTCAGAGTTCGGTTGTTGCTGAGGAAGAGGGGGGAGTGTGGGGATATAACTTTTCCCCCCCAAAGGCTGTCAGAGCTGGCAGAGGAAAACAGGTGAAGTGATTGCAGAGCTTTCTGCTCTACCTTTTGGGCAGGTAAGGCTCGGTACCCGCTCCTGCGGGTGCCCTTTTCAGGGCTTGGAAATGTTAGTTAGCGGCTGTATCACCTGCTGATATTTTGATTTATTGAGGTGATCGATCACAGTGGCAGTCTGTGGTTTGGCTCTGCCCTTATGAGTGTTGGAATAATTTTTCAATGGCTGGGAGTAATTTATTTTTATTTTTTTTTCCCCTTCAGAAATTTGGATTCGTGTTTTAATTTTGGGATTGCAAAATAGGGCTGTATAATGTGTATACAGTTAGTTGACATATTTAAATGGCAGGATTGTTTTGCTTTCTAGTGACAGGATTTTTCTTGCAAATACAAGAGGTGCTAAGACGTCCTCAGCAGCTGCCTCCATCTCTACAAGTAGCCTAATGTTCAGTCCTTATAGTGTGAAAGAAGACATTGTTCCTTTTTTCTATACTACTATTAAGTTATTAATTTCTATGTAAAACACATTTGCCTTGTTGAAGTGTTGTGAGGATTTTGTTTTGTGTGTTTTTGTTTTTTTTAACACTGCCTGCAGAAGAATGGAGTTACATTATCTTTGTGCTACAGCTTGCAAAGATACTGGGTGTTCTGAACACGAGGTGCAGAGATTTCAGTTAATTTGATGGCAACTGCAGGAATGCAGGGTGTTTAAATTCTTGATTATTTGTGCTTGGAGTGGGAATATTACAAGGTTTTTTCACGAGCGGGCGTTGGCACTAACTTCAGACCCTTACAAAGATTGATGTCAATTTCTACGTTTGTTTCAGAAAACTTTGGATTGTGTCATTTGTTACTATGTTACCCCTTTTGTTTGGGGTCAAATGAAGTGGTTTAGCCCTGTGTTGAATTTGTCAGCAATTCTCATCAGTCAGTTACTGGATGAATGTTTTACTTTCCCTTGTTTGTCAGAATTGTCTAAGGTTTGAGAACTGATTTTGTGTGCTGCTTTTCTTTCCTCGCCCATCCCCTCTTTCCTTTAAATACTTAGGGTCAATACCAAGTTCAAAACGTACATTTAATCTATAAGCAGTAGGGGTGTAAGGCTGGTAAAACTTGTAAAAAAGTCTCTAACTTGAGATAAGATGGACTTACAGAAGGTGGCGGTTAATTAGAAAGCGAGTAGATAAAGGTTTAACCTTGAGATATGATCTCTGCGTTACGGTTTCCAGCACATAGTCCCTTCCTTCATCAGCCTTACTTTGAAAGAGTCGAGAAGCTGTTTTGCAGGGTTCGTAATCCCTCTGAAGAAGAGGAAGTTAATTAGCTCCATGCAGGCATTTTAATGAACGGATGATGGCTACTAAGACCCTGTGCTATTATATTATTGCCAGGTTAGCTTTTTGGGTTTGTTTGAGGAGGAAGCTGTCCGTGGGAGAAGTATTTTATCGCAGAACAGTAGCATCCTACTGGGAAGCAGACTTTTAAGCATTTATTTTTCAAGCTGAAGGAATTTTTCTTTTGCCAAAATATGTTCAATTCTTCAATGGTAACTACTTGCTATGGATTCTGATTCTTTTAAATACTGGTGTGGGAGCATAACAGTTAATGACTTTGTATTCTTGTTAAGCTGTGTTTATTACTGAAAAGCATTCTATTTTGCTGGTTGTATTTCAGTTATCTATAGATATGGGTATTTAGAAGTCTTTGAAAATTTTACAGTTCTCTTACAAGGCTAGGTGCCTATTGAAGAATTCTGTAACTATTTACACAGGGGAGTTACCAGCTTTTTGGTAATATATGGAAAATAATTCTGGTTTTCTTAAAATGGAACAGGCAAGCACACTTCTTGGGGAATGTTTAATTTGTGCCCTTCAGTTTTATTCATTCTTTTCAGTTGAATAGGATTGCATTCTCTGTATTCTCTGTAAAAAAAAAAAAAAAAAAAAAAAAAAAAAAAAAAAAAAAAAAAAAAAAAAAAAAAAAAAAAAAAAAAAAAAAAAAAAAAAAAAAAAAAAAAAAAAAAAAAAAAAAAAAAGTGCTGTCTTGTTTTCATCTGCTGATACTTTTATTTTTTTTTAATAAGGTAGATGCTTTCTCTTTAACTAGTGGATTTAATGACAGAGTTTACAAAATAAACCCAGCTTCTCACAGTCAGAGTACCTGTCCTGAAAAATTAAACTGCTGTTTTTGGAATGCATTTGATTGACTTACAGGCTTTCAGTCTTCTTGTACACATCTAACTGTTTATGAAAACCTTGCAGCACAGTTTATACCTCTGTAAACTGCTGTAAAGACAGCAGTTAGCCACTATGCTGCAGGAATTTAAATAACTGCAGTGAAGGACATGCAGGGTTTCAAGCCCTTTGCTTAGTTATCTAGACCATCCTTTGCAATGCACAGTTGGTTAACAACTCTTTTAAGACTATGAAAATGTTCATCTTGGTGTGTTGTTCTTCTGGGGCACGCAGTCAGGTCACTCAGTTAGGCTATGTGTATCCAACAGATGCCTGTGGAAAGTGAAGCAAACACACTTTAAAACGAAAAAAGCAAGTATTTATTACTTTCAGTAAGCTGTACCACCTGTAGTCGAGCTTTTCTCCACTGTCCAATATTATCAGTAGTTGACCACTACTGAAATTTGGGCGGTAAAAACTGTTTAGGTGGCAAAGAAGTGGTGAAAGCTGGAAGTAAGGTGCTCAGAAGGATGTGACTGACACCCCCTAAGAATAGTACCTGCATCCCTCTGCTCCTAGAGCCCTGGCAGTGAGATTTGCTCATAAGGCAAATCCCAGAAGTCACCCGCGTTCTCATACTTAACCCTTGTAGGCAGCGAGCGTGATGCATGTGGGTCTGGGGGATTGTTTAATTGTGTCACAGTCAAAGTGTCAGCAGCCATAAGGTCACAACACATTGTAAGGCCCATGGGGTGCTGCCTCCTTGGGGTACCCATGGAGTTCGTGCAGGTTTACAACACAGCCAGGGCGGGCAGAATGGGGACAACGACACTCCTTTTCATCCTTTGGGGTGGAGCGGGGACAGAAATCCAATGGTTTCATTTCTGTAACAAGTTTTACTGGTCTGCCCTTGGAGGTCT